TGGACTGTCGTTGAAATGTAGGCAATCCGCATTACTCTTGGTGACGGTCGACTCTGGTCAGAATCGTCGCAGCGACTAACGGAAAAATAATGATTTATGCTTTCAGATTTTCGACTAGTTTAAAAAGGATTTAAATAGGCATAAAACTTTTACAAAGTAGGTGACATATTTAAGATTTTTATTTATTTTTAACGGGGTGTAAAAGAAATTCGAATGCTTAAATAAATTAGTTTCTATGTTTAATAGCAGTTAACGCAAATATTGGATATGTATTTCTTTTTGCTGTAAAATCACCAACCGTTCCATTAAATGGTACACAGCACACAATTAGATGGGCAATATCTAGCTTCTCTTCATTTTAATCGCGAGGATCTGAAGGTATTTATCCAGTCCTACTTTAGTGGAGTCTGAAAGAACTTAAACCGCACCTGGTGGGTATATTCAGATCCTCGTTAGCTTTGAGGTATATTCCCAAAAACTGGAGAGAGGTAAACATGGTCTGCATACCCAAACCTGGAAGGATGGATTACATTGTCCCAAAAAAATACCAACCAATTAGTCTGATATCGTTTTTTATAAAGATATTGGAAAGGCTATTCGAAAGGTATATAAGGAATGTGGTGATTATAACCATTCCATCTGCTGATTCGTTTCGCTACCTAGTTTCTAACTGTATACAGAGAACTCTGAACAATAAGGAGACCAGCCTGGGTGTTTTTATAGATAGAAAATGCTTTTGATAAAACCACCTATTCCAAGATTATGCACCAACTAACGAATGTTCCGCAGATGGTTAGTGGGTGGATACATAACATACTCTCAAAGGGATCTACTAAAAAAGGTCGCGAACATTTGGTCGCGCACAAATAGGCGCGTGTCAAAAGGTCGCCGGCGAAAAAAGAGCGCCGACGAAAAAAGGTCGCGAGCAATTGATCGCGCGAAAAAAAGGCGAGTAGGAAAATAGCGCGTAACAATGTTGATATTTCTATTATTATCTTTTAATCCCAATGCAAAACAATCATTGTTCTTAAAGTGTTATAATGAGGGCATCGTAATAAGAAAGGTTTGGTAAAATTTAGTATTCATAGATTTGTTTTGAAAATCTTTATATTGCAGGTAACCTTTTAAAGTTTGTCTCTAATACCTATTTATTAAAAAAAAAAACGATTTGTTTATTATTACTTTAGATAATTACCAATAAGCTGGTTACTTATTTTAAGTAAATCTTATTACAAACAACTCCGTTAGCTGTTAATAAGGCTTTAATGTTGATATTTCTATTATTATCTTTTAATCCCAATGAAAAACAATCATTTATTTCACAATTTACTTAATTGGTATTTATACACAAGACGCAAATTTTGCTCTACATCTGCGGCAACTGGCAGCTCTTGCATTCTTACCCGAAGAAGATGTTGTAACGTTTGAAGTGTTACTTGACAGCGAATTTTAGACGCAAAATGAAGATACGCTATTGCCATTTATAAATTATTTTGAAGATGTATGGATAGGCCGCTTAGATCGACGACACCAGAGGACGATACCGCAATTTTCAAGAAATCTGTGGAATTGCTTTGAATTTATAGACGAAGATATACATCGTACAAATAATTCTGTGGAGGGATGGCACAACAGTTTCTCCTCTATATTAAATGCAGCACATCCAAATTAATGGACATTTATCAATACGCTAAAAAAGAGGAGAGTTTTAATTGTTTGAAAGTTGAGCAGTATATAGCTGGAAACGAACAGCAACGAAAAAAAATTATAAAGATACGGCGAAACGAATAAAATCCATTTGTGAACAATATGGCAATCGTCCAAATTTGGAATATTTAAGGGGCATTGCTCATAACATAACTTCAGAAATTAAAACCCCAAAAAATAAAAAACAAAAATATAAAAAAAAAAACAACAAAAACTAGAAAAAAGTAAAAAAACTATAAAAACTAAAAAAACTAAAAAACAAACTAAAAAATCTTCTAAACACGCCAGGTAATATTACCTGCCAGTCCTAAGCCTGGATAAAGTGTGAAGGAAAGTTTGATTTTCCAATGCTTATTGGTAATTATCTAAAGTAATAATAAACAAATTGTTTTTTTTAATAAAAAGATATTAGAGACATACTTTAAAAAGTTACCTGCAATATAAAGATTTTCAAAACAAATCTATGAATACTTAATTTTACCAAACCCTTCTTATTACGATGCCCTCATTATAACACTTTAAGACCAATGATTGTTTTTCATTAGGATAAAAAGAAATATCAACATTGTTACGCGCTATTTTCCTACTCGCCTTTTTTTCACGCGATCAATTGCTCGCGACCTTTTTTCGTCGGCGCTCTTTTTTCGCCGGCGACCTTTTGACACGCGCCTATTTGTGCTCGACATTTTTTCGCGCGACCAAATGTTCGCGACCTTTTTTTCGTGACACCCTCTCAAAGTGAACAGTAAACATATAAGTAGAAGACGGTAATATAAGAAGCTTAGTTGCAAAGGGATGTCCACAGCTCTAATTTGTAATATGATCCCAGACACTTTTAACAGCCGCATAAACAATAAGTCACTAGACAATAGCGTATGCAGATGACCCTATCATTCTACAAACAGGAAATTTTGAGAACATACTCTACAAAAGAATGCAAGTAACTCTCAAAATTATAGAATAGTGGTGTCAGGACCAATTACTATCTATTAATCCCAAAAAGACAGAAATGGTCCTTTTTCCAAGTAAAAGGATAAAAATGGTATTAAAAACGTGCTCCTAAACACAAAACTTTGCAACACAGGTGAAGTATCTAGGTATCACCTTTGATAGCAAGTTATTATGAAACTCACACCTAGAAAACAGAGTTAACAGCTATAATAATACCACTTTATAAGGGTGGCGACAAAATAAAAACCTTTTACTATAGACATTAGGGTGGGCCAAAAAATTAAAATATGGCATTTCAAAACGCAATACCCCCAATGTATGACTTATGATATACCTTATCTCTGTTTAAAATTACAACCATATTAAATATCATCTTGTGCCCTCTACATACCCTTCAAATTAAAAAAAATCTCACATTTTTACTTTTTCTAAAATAATAATCATTTGCATATCAAATAGGTATTAACACATATTTTATATACTTAGGTACTAAATACAGTATTTTTCCTACGACCACTTAGGAAAGTGACACATATCACACTATATAGTTCTATAGAAAGTGCCCTGTATCACACGCGTATGAATAAGAATTTACTTTCCACCCGAGTGAGAATATGTTACTTTCCGCAGTAGTTGTCACAAAATGTCAAACACCTAATTTCTATTTTGATCTATGTAATGTCCATACTAAAATCGATATGATTGTTAAATTATTGAAATCGTTGTAAATTAGATCCTAGATATTTATCTTTAACAATTATTATTAAAATAATTTTTAAATAATGTTTGCTCTTTATTCTGGTTAAATACATAACCGATTAGATCATTCAATTGACACAAGGGCTATTAGCTCAGGTGGTTAGGACGTCGAACTTATCAACTTTGCCATTTTTCAACCGCGTTCGAATCCTGGCGGGGCAGATTTTTTTTTGTTTTTTTTTTTATTTTTTTTTAGTTTTTTTTTTGTTTTGAAAATATAAAAATTGAATAAATACGATTATTGTTGATTATTTTTTTAAATACATTTTAATTATTATAGTAATAATAACTTTGGTTTTACATTTTTTTGATGACATTATTTTGTGGTCGTAGGAAAAATATTGTACATCACTTGTGTGAAAAGTGATTTTCCACACTCGTATGATAGTCGCACTCGGCTTGCGCCTCGTGCGACAATATTTCCCACTCGTGTGAAAAATGTCACTTTCCACACTCGTAATGTAATATACTATAACACGTTACCTTATTTCACTTCCTTATTTCCTCATAATTTTACGTCAACTTGGCAGAGCAGCGTAAGCTGTCGCCAAGGTCAGCACAGTTAATCGGTTATTGCTGCATTGCATTATTTGAGTCAGTTGATGATACGAAGCGACCGCGTAAAGTCTATCGTGTTATTTGTTGTGAGCGTATTATTATTATTTGTTTATACACAATTTAAAATGTCTAAAAAGAAGGCGATAGTCACCAGAAAAACAGTAGTGTGTCCCATTTTGGGATATCCAAGTGAACTGAACCATACAGTTTTGCCAACCATTAAATATGTGTTAAAATTTTATTTGTTTTTCAGGTATGAACTTAAATTTAAATGTTCTGGGAGAAACCAAGTTTCTCGGAAATTTCAAAAACTGCCATTTTAAAAACACAGGAAATATGCAGTAACGCATCAATTCCAATAATTTTATCCGAACGAATCGGACAACTAGTTCGAAAATATCACACGGAGTATTTGCAACTCTTACAGCCGTATGCATAGTCGATCGCCAGTGACTCGCCAGATATTCATTTCGGCGTATCGCTAGCGATTCACTGGCGATCCGCCGGCGAAAGCCCAAAAAGCTGGCGACTCGCCGGAGATTGTCACCGGAATGTCATTTCACGCAAGTTTTCATGTTCTTTTATAGGGAAAAATTTGATATTCGTTTATTATTTTTTGAGTTTTAAGAAATGAATCATGAATAAAATGCGAGAGGTACCGGTGATAATCCCTATAAAAGAAAATAAAAACTTGCGTAAAATGACATTCCGGTGACAATCTCCGGCGAGACGCCAGCTTTATGGGCTTTCGCCGGCGGTTCGCCAGCGAATCGCTGGCGAAACGCCGAATGAATCTCTGGCGAGTCGCTGGCGATCGACTATGCATACGTCTGTTAAGGTTTCCTAAAGCCAGGCGCAATAAAAAATATGAACTCAGACTAGTAGAGTTTTTGACCAAATGCGAAAGTAAATTATTTGATGTTTCCTCTTGTAAATGCAAACAAATTTCTTCTTGTTTGTGTGAAAAGTCGCGTAAAGTACCATCTAAGAACAAGCTTTTTAGAAGATCAGAGGCAAATAGAAAAATGGCATTAGGACCAGTTAATGTAAAAGAAACTGAAAGAATTTTAAAGTTAGAAGAAAGAAAACAAAAGACAACCAATAGAATTACTAGTTCCACGTCAGTCTTCGACAGAGAAAAGTCGACTTTAAGCACTACATTGAACAGAAAAGGACCTAGTTTTGAAGGAGTAGTTAAAGAGGATCCTTCCTCCGTTTCTTCCGGTACTTCCTCGTGTTCATCACTTGTGTTGAATGGAAATGTACTTAAACTTCCGACATTAGCTAAAACTTGCGATCAGTTTGGAGTCTCAGATAGAGCTGCAGCAGCAATTGCATCGGCAGTTCTACAAGAGGAAAATCTAACAAATGTAATTGATAAAAACAAAGTCAGAAGAGCTCGTGAAAAAGCCCGTAGTTTATTAAAAAAAGAACACACTAAAACGAAATTAATATAAAAAGTATATATTTTGATGGGAGAAAAGATAAGACATTATATCAAGAAAAAATTGATGAAAAATTTCATCGCAGAACAATTTCAGAAGAGCATGTTTCCATAATAGAAGAGCCGTGGTCCGCTTACGTTGAGCATGTGTCACCAACTTCTAGCTCTGCTAAATCTATTGCAATCAGTATTTACGAGTTTGGTGTAAGAACAAATGTTTGTTTAGATGTTCGTTATTGGTTGTGATGGCACTGTAGTAAATACCAGCTGTAAAAATGGGGCAATAAGACATCTGGAATTACAAATAAAAAACCACTTCAGTGGTTTATTTGCCAGATACATGCCAATGAGCTGTTATTACGACATTTATTTAACCACCTGGATGGGCGAACAACTGGTCCAACACAACATCTAGGCCCAATAGGAAAAATGCTTGAGAATTGTGAAACTCGGCCAGTGGTAGATTTTGTTCCTGTTGTTGAATTTTTTCCTGAAGCAAATTTAGATGATCTTAGTACCGACCAGCAATATTTGTACAAAATATGTCGAGCTGTTTGATGTGGATATTGTGAGCCTAATTTAGCCAATTTGCAACCTGGAAAGATGTATCATGCGAGGTGGCTGACTAAAGCAAACCGACTACTTCGACTCTACATTAGTTGTGAAAATCCATCGAAAAATCTCGTTATTCTTGTCAATTTCCTAATAAAATAGTATGTTCCGATGTGATTTTCCATAAAATCCTCGTTTCCCATGTCACACACAAGCTGTCGAAAGATGTTTGAAACTAGTAACTGAGGCATCAAGCTGTGTGATTGGTGAGGAAGCACGTGATGGATTTATTCATCTAAGAGTTAAATCGCGTGAAATTATGCCTCACTTCCATCATAAAGCCGAATATAATATGTAACAATTTTGTAAATGGTAATATTTTTACTTCTGAACGTTTTTTTTTTGCAATAAAATAGTGTTTGCCTTCCTATGAAGTGTTCTTATTTTTCTTGTATAATAAAAAAAAACTTAAATTTGCCAATTAAAAACCTGTGTAGAGGGCACAAAAAATAAAAAACTAAATTATACATTTTCATTCTCTTCACACGAGGCATCTTTTCCACCCTATTGGATTAAAAAAAAAATTATAACCTTTATATGGGAACGGCCCACCCTAATACACATATTGCCTTGTTACCTACCTTATCATAGTAGAAAGGCTAATGAAATTTTCATGTGTATTCGTTAGATAGGAAGTTATTGAGTATATTTGCCTAACGAGCAGAATTTTGTGATTTAAACTAAAACTATAAGTAATTTTTAGCAAAAATTGTAGTTACTGTGTTTTTTCCTACAACAGCAGCATTGTGAACCTAGCTTTTAAACCTGAAGTATTAATATTTTTACCTACCTTTTAAACCATGTGTATGTGTGAGAGGAAAAAGGATGGCATTTGCATATATTTGCAGAAATACTCAATAATAATTAAAAACTCTTGTTAGACAATTATTCTTTTAAATCATAATCATAGTAGTTTTTTGTCGTTTCTATGGCAACCTGTAAAGATAAATCAGAACAATAGGCACATTAATAAATTTTTAAATCAGCAAAAATTGGTCTATAAATATTTTTAATCATTTTTACCTAATAATCGTGGATAGATTTTTTGTGCCATGTTAAGAGAAAGAAAATGTTTCCCTTTCTCGATATTTATATCAAGATATATTTGAATATGTTATTTTCTGAAAAACTTTAAGGGCAAACAATCTTTTTATTATAAAATAATTTTTTTAACCACTTTGCTCAGGAATGGAATTGGCAAAGATACCATTTGGTAAAGTACAATGTTACATGCTTTTGGGGTATATTTCATTTTGTTATAAGATGAAGATAAAAATTTGCAGTGGGCTCTTGGGCTATTATGATTTGACTCTATATGCGCTAGAAATACAAATTTAAGTTGCGCAATGTATAAACTGGGTCATTGGTATCAAAAGTGCCGAGGCCGAGTGTGTGAATTTATTCTTTAGCTATAAACTGTAGCAATAGTCACAATGTACGGGCGGCGTTTGGAATAAAAACCTTTTTTAAGAATAGCCTGCCTGACTTTTATTCCATCTAGTCTCTGAATTATGTATAAAAGCAACCTTCGATTTTACATACTAAGTATAGATGGTGATACCATTTTTGCTCGTTGAATATCTACACATGCTCAACCCGCCGTTATTGTGTTAAATCGAAGTTCGTATTGCCATCAGACTCGTTTAGAAACTGGAGTTAAAAATGTATATTTCTTCCTAAAGAGTCCTACTAAGATCGAAATCTATCCAAAAATGACTTTCTCCTTAATCAGTGCAGTTTTATTGGTACTGAAACCCCAAAAATTGACAGCTATTCGTAAACAGGAACAAATTAAACAAACAGCATGTCTCAACATAACCACACCAGCCAACTCCATCGAAGTCATTCTTAGTCTCACTTCCCTTGATATTTACATCAACAATAGGCTTTTCCACAATTGGAATAGAACCTGATGTTAAATATGGTGAGGCGAGACGTCGCTTTTGACAGGAGGCGCACGATACGCTACCACTGCTAGAGCGAACATGGCCTTAATCTTACCGAGGTATATCTTCCATAAGTCCTATAAAGTTACTACACAATAAATAGAAGTACCAGAGGCAGGTATCATTCATACACCGACGATTCTAAAACAATACAAGGATTAGGATATGAAATTTACTCCAGATCCTTAAACCTAAACATAAAATGGGCTCAAAACAATATCACGGAAAGAAACATGCTCTTCTATACAGATAGCAGACGAACAATACTCATTATGAACAGATTACAAAGTTACTTAGGTTTAGTACGACAATGTCACGAAACTTTGGCTAAAATATCCATCAACAATGTGGCTACCTTAAGATGGATTAAAGGACACATTACATCGAAAGGAAACCGTCTTGCTGATTCATTAGCCGATAAGGCAGCCAACTAAATACTTTTTGTACCTGGCCCTTTTATTAGACTGACAACATCGGTAGTGACAAACCTTATTAGAGAACATTGTCTTGTTAAATTCAAGGAAAGATGAAACAGGAAACGTAGAGTTACCAGGAAACTTTTTAGTAAAACTGACAACAATACAGCAAACAAATACTTAAACATCACAGGCAATCAGATTGGTAATTGCCAAGTACGCACGCATCTTCTTATCATGGGGTTGTAAGAATCCACATTCCGCAAGGGATGCGAGCAAGAAGATGAGACTATATAGCATATCCTCCAAGATTTCTCGAAGCTCTATTAGAAGATTTGTGTTTAGTAAGTATCGGCGCTAACACTGGCCGATATAAGAAGAGCACCTCTTAGCGACGTTGTCAACTACAACTACATTAAATCTGAAACCTAGGTGCTACACATTACAGATACAGATATAGAGATTGTACACAGGCATTATTAATTATTTCTGGTTGAATTGCAGCAATTGGCAATTTTCTCCCTAATAGAGTCTTGATTTTTGAAGAATTATGAATCGTGTTCTAAACACTAATTTTTTAAAATAATTACACAGCCAATAATCCGCTAAAACAAGAACTTGAAAAAGAGCAATAAACAATTTTTTAAGTTGTCGTTAAATATGCGGGATTTCTCCATCCTTTATTATTCCTTTATGCTCATTTTGGGTCTGTGGATGGCCTAATCTCGTAACATTTCTTGGTATCGTTCACAAGTTATTTTTATAAATACAGCATTACCTCAAAAAAGTATGGTCGAAACATAAAGTCAGTGAAACTGTACCAAATGGTGACTTTCTAAACGATTTCATGTAGATTATTTGTTGACCATGTAGGACAATTTTGAATAATAATTTTAACATTTTGAGAGAAAATACTGGATAATCAATCTGGCACAATTTCCATCTGAGCCAATAATCGTAGTTCCCCGCGGTAACTTTATGTTAACGATTTTAAACATTGCTAATAATATTGTAAATTACAGATGGTCATTATCTTTAAAGTTCGTATTTCATCTTAAATATCAAATAAACGTTTTCAACAGTAGTGATTCCCTTGAAAATTTTTAGAACATCAACTGTATTAAAACATGAATTAATTATTTATCGCACCATTTACTTATATGGGAAGTGCCCTCTATCAAACGCGTGTGGCAAAAAATCTATTTTTCCTACGACCACTTAGGAAAGTGACACATATCACACTATATAGTCCTATGGAAAGTGCCCTATATCACACGCGTATGAATAAGAATTTACTTTTCACCCGAGTGAGAATATGTTACTTTCCGCAGTAGTTATCACAAAATGTCAAACACCTAATTTCTATTTTGATCTATGTAATGTCCATATTAATACTAAAATAAATATGATTGTTAAATTATTAAAATTGTTGTAAATTAGATCCTAGATATTTATCTTTAACAATTATTATTAAAATAATTTTAAAATAATGTTTGCTCTTTATTCTGGTTAAATACATAACCAATTAGATCATTCAATTGACACAAGGGCTATTAGCTCAGGTGGTTAGGACGTCGAACTTATCAACTTTGCCATTTTTCGACCGCGTTCAAATCCTGGCGGGGCAGATTTTTTTTTTGTTTTTTTTATTTTTTTTTTGTTTAGAAAATATGAAAATTAAATAAATACGATTATTGTTGATTATTTTTTTAATTACTTTTTAATTATTATAGTAATAATAACCTTGGTTTTACATTTTTTTGATGACATTATTTTGTGGTCGTAGGAAAAATATTGTACATAACTTGTGTGAAAAGTGATTTTCCACACTCGTAATGTAATCTACTATTACACCCATGTGTAAACATGAATCTACTTTCCACATAACCTGTCAAATATGTCAAATACATAATTACAATTTTTATTAATGTAATCTCCATATTAATAGTAAA